TTACTAGCTATTTTAAATAGAGTAACAATGAACATGAATAAGGAAGTGTCTCTATAATGGGACATAGAGTTTTTTGGGTATATCATGAGAAATGGTATAGCTTGATCAACTGCTTGATCTATTTCTAACTCTTTAAAAGACCACCACACTGAATTTCCCAGAAGTTGAATGAGTTTATAATCCTACCAGTTATGAATGAGTATTCTCTGTTCTTCACACCAACATTTGTGTCACTTTTTGTTGGGGACCAGCCTCAGCAGAGAAGTGGGTCTCGAATCTGGGATGTCTGGAAGGCAGAATGAGTACACGAACACAGGATTCTGATGCAAACTGATTAACTATCAGCTGCGGGGAAACAACCTTCTTCTTCTTCTTCTTCTTCTTCTTCTTCTTCTTCTTCTTCTTCTTCTTCTTCTTCTTCTTCTTCTTCTTCTTTTCTTCTTCTCCTTCTCCTCTTCTACCTCCTCCTCCTCCTCGTTTTCCTCCTTCTTTTTCTTCTTATTCAGCTTCCTCTTTTTTTCTTCTGCCTTGAGCTTTAAACCTCAGTCTTTTATTGTAAATTTCACACAAGGAAAATTATTCTTTTTCCTTGTCAAAGGTTAATCATTACATGGCCAAGCAGCTCACAAGAAGTATAAAGATTCTTTGAAATCGAAGCATCACCATTCATTATGGCATTTTCCCAGTTCCCAAGCTCCATTCCAACCACTATATTCTTAATTCTTAGCTGAGTTAATTATTAAACAACTTCTGAGGCTCCAACCTCTAAAGCTAACTACTTGCTGTTTACAGACATAGTTCAGCAGGTTTTACTCCATTGCTGTACCTTTCTCATTGTTATTCCTCATAATTTCAATTTTGATTTATAAGGTCATAGACAGTCAGAAACTTCATTCATCATAACCAAGTTCTTTTCTGTTTTAGTATAATTCTTTTGCCAAGTTTTATAATCATGTAAAAATTTCTGCAGTTTTCCCAGATTTCCCAAATTCTTTCATCAGTCAGGTTTTTTCCATAATCTGTTTTATAGCTTCAATGGCTGCCCACTCTATCAGATCAGGAAGACTCATATTATCGTACAGCACATTCATATTTTCAGAAGTCACTGGTGTGGAAGGAGAGAAAGAACATGAAGAACAAGTACACTAGTAGAATTGCTATAACCAGAATCATCTGTAACATTGCCAAATGCGTATGCAGATGCCATAGAAGTGGTCCTCGGGGCACATAGGTGTTTCCTCCTTGGCCCTCAAGTAACATGCTCATTTAGCTGCCTCTGGGTTGCCTGGAGGGAATTGCTTCCTGCATCTCAGGAACCACACTTGGAGGGGGGCTAGGCTTTGTCATCTCCAGCACCTTTTCATCTTAATAACATATCACTATACTACTAAATGAGTGCCTCTCTTGAGCCTCATCATAGAAGCTTCTCTTTGAAGTGAATGTAGATTAACACAGAGTTCCACAACTGGTCAAGGTACAAAGAAAAATAGTCTGTGGAGTTCTCAGCCCTGAATGGGACATCTATGTCATATAATTATCAGAAGAGTTATGAAAATAATTATTTTTGTCACAATTACAATTCCTATTGATCAAATTGATGACATTCTGATTGTAAAGTCCAAGAGTTTGTCAATCATTTTTTTAAACTTTTAAGATTCCCTTTAATTATACATGGGAGCAGCCAAATTGCAGGCCCATTACTGCCATGCCAATCATTTTGAAAGACACAAAATTCATCCTAGCTCTTGAAGTATATCATTAAAATTTTCAAAAGAAAATATAATGTCTTGAGACAAATGGAACATGTGATATATACATTTTAAATGCAGAGAAAAAGTTATTTGACATATAACATATAGCTTTCTTATGAAGAGATTACACCAATACCCCATGTTTCAATGGGGAACATTTTATATAATTTTCCTATTTAAATTGTTATCATTTACCTCAGTGTATTTTAAATGGCAAAATATATTTCTAGGCAGAATTTCCTAGTATGACTATAACTTTCTCTTTGTTCATAGTTCTGTTCTCTAAAAAGTGTTCTGACATCTTACCCTTTGATAGGTTTTACACTTACTAGGTTCATTTAATTTATATAAAGACATCTTAAACAAAGTTTTTAAACTTGAGGCTATCTATTATAACTTCTATTTTTAGCTTGAAGAATCACGAAACTATTCAATATTATTTACTTCAAATTCTCAATATAGTAACTTTTCAATGTTTTTAACAAAATGAAAGTAAGACATTGACTTGATTTTAATTTAAAAATGGGAAATCACTGCCATTGGACTGCAGCAGCGACTTTTGAACCGACAAGCTTATTCCTGCCCTAAAATGTTCATTCTGATGAAGCTCTGGTGACAATGAAGAATGCCTCTCTCCTTCAAGTACATCTTGAAGATGTGGAAAATCCAAGCTCCACCCAGGAATTCCATTCCCCTGTGGTTACTCATCTGGAGCACAGACATGTAGGACCTGTCTGAAAGAGACATAAGGAGCAGTAGAACACCACCTGTGAGTCATCCTGTAATACAGTGGAGCCTTAGAGGGAACAAGTAGGGGGGATGTATTGGTTGCTAGGAAAATGTAGGTTACTGGAAGAAAGTAGCATCCTCCATTATACGATCTAAGGTGCGACTCACATAATTGTTTTCCTTCTTAAGATTGATGGGGCCTATGAGGCATTTCTTTAAGGTGGTGACGAGCATCATAAATGCCTAAGGTGGATAGGACTGCACATGGTTTTAGAAGGAGATTTTTATAAAGAAGGTGGAGATCCCAACTCCGTTCAAGCTGTCTCTCTCCATATATAAGTCTGGGTGTTTATTCTAGGTTTCTTTGGAACTGTCTTGACAGAGAACCTAAGCTGAGCTGAGCAAAGCGGCCTTGATCTGAGTGAGTGAACTGGCACCATGAAAATAGCAGGTGTCTTTCTGCTCCTGTCTCTGACCCTTCTCTGCTTTTTCTCAGGTGAGTTGTTCCTTAAAATTAACATCCCCCTGTTACATAGAAGCAGATAGGAGAAATGTAGATCTTCCTCGCATTTCCAAAGTCTCGTGACTTTTATGTGAAAGAGCAGTTAAGAAAGACTATGCTAATGATGATGACAGTGGCAGCGATGATGACAACGAGGCTGGGAAGATGGTAGGGAGTCTCATTCACAGAGCGCATGCTTTGCTCTAGCCTTGTACCAAGGGTGGCTAGAGCTCATCTCTGACTCTCTTGTAAGGAGTTCAGAACCTGTTCTTCATATAAGATGTTATGACACAGAAAGGGAAATTATATTTATTCAATAGAAACATAATTTTGATTGAGGTCTTAAGAACATCACAGTTGATGCTCATTTGTAAAGTACAAATGTAGAAGATGAATAATTGGCCTTACAACTAATCTTGCCTTTTCAGAAAAACGTTCCTGCCCTTTTTTTATTATTTCAAAGAGACAAAAGTAATTGAAATTAACCGGGAGGGGGGGTAGAAACTCTGTGTGGAAAGCTTTGAAAAGAAAGTTATGGAGCTTTAGAAAGAAGAAGCATATGCAACAAGAAGAGAAAACTAATTCTCAAGCAGGCAATATCTTGAATCACTTAAATGAGCAATGGATATGCATTTTATCAATTAAGCGAGTTCAATGTCGCACTGTAAAGTAACATTCATCTGGAGATAAAAAGACTGCATTTCCAAGCCAAAGGAACCTCTTGATGAACATGTTTGTTAATGGACAGAATGTCCACTGGGGTAAATTGGCCCATCATTCCCACTGGTACCCTATGTATCCTCTTAGATAGTCTTTCCTATGTAAATGCTAAGAGATGAGACTAAGCTCGGTTGAAGGAAGAAGGTGGGTTTTCATGGATGATGTATCATTTTCTGGGATTGTAGGTGATAAACTGCATTGCCTTCAAGGTTTCAAGTTAAAGATTTTTTAATTTTTGATGGAATTAAGTTGGTATAGAAAACTCACTCTAGTTAGTCATATTTACAGAAACAAGTTCTTATAAAAGATGTATTTAAAAATAGATGAATTCCTGTAATATTGCTGAATAAGTTTTAAAACTAATATACTCAAAAATATTTTGTGAGGTAACAGAAAGTTAGACCTATGCTAAAACTTAGCCCTTAAAGTCAGTTGTCATCCTTTGTAGAGAAGAATTTACTTTATCAATATCTAGTTTACAAAAGTACTGAGTTCTCCAGAGCATGGGTGCTTTCTAGACACATCAAATGTCACTCTTGGGGATATCATGCTCAAAAAAGCTAATGCTGAAACTGAGAAAGTTAATTTAAGTCCTAGCATTTCTTTTCCATCATCCAGTTCTAACATTTCTGATGTTTTTTTCTTCATGTATTAAATGAAAATGTAGAATAACTACTTTTATATAGGGAAATAAATGAGAAAACTAATATAAAGAGTTTGACATAGTAGTTGATACGCAATAAATGTTCAACAAATATCTTAAATTAATGCCATAATTAAAAAACAAAAGAGTAATTTTTCTTAAGCATGGTCAATATGAATCTATCTCCTGCCTTGCCATTTTCTAAATATGGAACAGTGGGCAAATCCTCTCTTTACCAGGTCCAGGTTTTTCAAAGTGAAACACTGAAAATGGTAATAATTAATTTTCTAAGACCATAAAAATCACTAACAGAATTTACAAAATACAGAGTTCTGGACACTCTCTGAGTTCACTACATAACTTTCCAATAGTGTAGCAGAAGGCTCTGTCCTCATAATAATCATTCACTCTGCCAGTTATGAATCAGTGCTGCTGGTAAAGCTTCTGGAAGAGACGATGAGGCTCATATAAAGTCTAAATGCTGAGGACTTCCCTGCATCCATTAATGCATTACATTTGGAAGTATCCCTGAGTACTGGGCCATGATGGCAGCAGCATCCGTCTGTACTTCCTCACTGAAGAAGTCTTGGACTTACACAGATGGAAGGTGTTGGTATATTTGCAGTTGCACCAAATGCACCACACACTTAAAACCATGGATGTTGATATTAAAAAGGAAGAAGAGAGTGAGAAGTAAGGCTGCGCAGGGACCCACCTTCAGAAATTTAAAGAAATAGAGAAGACATAGAAAATGAGGCATGGAAAGAGGATGGATCGATGTTTACCAATGCATATTTAAAGAGCCATATCTTTAAAATTGAGTTTCAGTAGAAACAACAGAAGGGTAATCCTGAGTTCAGCAAACAGCTAACATCACCACTGACCATGACATGCCTTTGACAGTAAAGGCAAGGGCTTCACCTTGGAATTCTGGATAGGGGACTCTTTCCAACTCCTCTTTGATGAAGAGGGACCAAAGATGATAAAGTCATTCCCGTTGTGAGTGAAAAGCAAGGTCAAAGCATTGACATTAATCTCTAGATTTTAAACCTTTAGCAGTCTCTTAATCCTAATCCCCAACAAATGTGTCTCTTCATGGTCTATTGATCCCCAAGAAGGGAACAGACACAAAAACAAGACATTTTGAGGCTTCATGACTTGGCCAACAATCAGAAAGAGGTGTGCATATTTCTGCTAAGTTTGTAGATCTTACTTTTACACATTCAGAAATTACAATGTTTGGAATTTATGCTGTTTTTCAGGTGCCTTTGGTCAAGGAGAAAAGGTGAGATCCCCATCTGTCTGTATATTTCTTCCCTAGGTAGAGTGTAGCTGCTATTCCATTGCTAAAAAGAAGTTTGTCTACATTATGAAAGAAGGGCGAGTCAGGAGACCAGAAAGGCCAAATGAGAAATCAGATGAAACAATGAGATTTTAAACTACAATTTCTCATGATATACAATTTTAAATTTAAAGGATCATATGCCTATATATGTATATATATATACATATGTCAGAGTATATATTGTCAGAGTACTGTGATTAATACACAGAGTGTGGGTGTGAAAGAAAATTTATATCCTATCCTTAACATAACCAGGCTACTGAACTGAAAATTTTCTCAGTTCTCAAAGTTGAAAATGTCACAGCTGTTAAACTAGGCACTAACTTACCTCATAGACTTACAGTCATCATTAAACTGTAAAAACAAGGCAAATCATTTAGAAAACTATAAAAGTTTATGTGAATTAGTTACTGATCTGTAATTAACTACCTCTAATAGAGTTAGAAGAGAGGGCTTTGTCTTTTGTTTGTTTGTGTTTACAGAAGTAAAAATGAACATAATTTTGTATATGGAGGATATATAGACTGCAGTGTTCAAATTTAAATACAAGTTGGGATTAATACTCAGGATGAGCATAGATTTTCTTCATTAAGTTTTTTTTTTTCCTCTCAGGTTTACTCAACAGCCTTTTTTTCTGTATTTTTTTTATCTAATAGTTAAAAACTTCTACAAACAAGTACTGTTTGCCCAGCTGGTTCTGTTCCTTCTGTTGGGCATTTCAGTTTGATTTGGGTACTAGCTTTTTAAATCTTAGCATATCCAAGAACTCTTGGCATCAAGTTTTCCAGACAGTGTTCCCAACTGATTGGGCATTCAAAAAAAGTTTTAAAAACTAATTTTCAATTCTGTTGTGTATTTTATATTCATAAGAGTTTATTTTACTGGCTCATAAATTAAGGTTCATCTTAAAATTGATGGCATCTTGTAATTTATATAGCAAACCCATGTGTTAGTGTTCTTTTTTATTGATTTTTATTGAGCTCTATTCCCCCCTCTGCCTCTTCCCTCCCCCTTTCAATCCTCCCCCAAATATCCCCATGCCCTAAATTTACTCAGGAGATCTTGTCTTTTCTACTTTCTATTTCCCATGTAGATTGGATCTATGTAAGTCTCTCTTTGTGTCCTCATTGTTGTCTATGTTCTCTGGGATTGTGATTTGTAGGCTGACTTTCTTTGCTTTATTTTTTAAAAACCACCTATGAGTGAGGACATGCGATAATTGTCTTTCTGTGTCTGGGTTACCACGCTCAAAATAATGTTTTCTAGCTCCATCCATTTTCCTGCAAAATTCAAAAAGTTGGGTTTTGTTTTTGTTGTTGTTGTTGTTGTTTGTGCTGTGCAGTACTCCATTGTATAAATGTACCACATTTTCCTTATCCATTCTTTGGTCGAGGGGCATTTAGGTTGTTTCTAGGTTCTTATATGCAAGTCTATATCCTAAAATGTATGTGCTCAACTAAATGTTATGGTCCTGTTTATGCTAAATATAGAAGCAATTCAGAAGGTCCAAAGACTCAGCCAATATGTTTCATATTCCATTAGACTGTAAAATAGGATGAATAAAATAAATAGAAGCATTACACATAAAACTAAATGATTTGAAACTTAATCCCACTTTTCCCATTAACCATCAGACACTTCCTTTCTTGGAATTTTCTTTTCTGAGAGTTTAATTGTACTTTATATTGTTCTATAATATCTCCCATTTATTTATCCTGTTCTTTTCAATTAGCCAACATCTTACAGTCTGCTTGCCTCAGGGCCCCCTAACGTGCTTTCTAAATACACAAATCCTCATGGAAGGCCATCAGTAACAGTTGAATGGTTCAGGCATTTGAATCTGCGTTCTAAACAACTGTATAGATGATACCTACACAGACTAATCTAACAATTAAAAAAAAAGGAACAGCAACCAAGATAGAGTGTGAAGTACTGGTTTGGAGTGAGACAAGGTGAATGACATCTGATTCACAGTTACTTGTCATGTTTTTTGGTTTATATCTTTCCCTTATCAATACCTCCATTTTCACCTTTGAAGATGAAGGTTGAGGTCCACTGCTATCTAAAGCCTCTTGCTGAACTAAATATTTGAATCGTTGTGAATCAAGGCTGCACTGCCAAGGCTGTCACCTTGGATCTATAAAATAAAAGGAAGATTCTGTCCTCCCAGACCACACCCAAGCGGCTTTACTCTTCCTTCTTCGTTGCCAAGGGGAGAGTAGGGCCGAAGGAATTATTGATATTAGGAACATGCTGGCTCGAGTCAGACACAGCCAAGTCAAAAGGAAGGCAGGTTTCCTCCAGCACCCAAGCCATTCTTCCCAGGCCAGGAATTTTGTTCGTGACGCATCTTCTGGGAAATTATAGTGTACACTCCTAATTATAGACCTTTATGAATTTCATGTTCTTTTCCAACCATTCTTCATGGTAACTGGGTGTGTTTTGTTATACCCATACATGTGGCCTCAGCTCTGGGAAGGCTGAGGCAGGAGAATCATCTAATTTTAAGACTAACTAGTTAATGTAATGAATGCCATACCAGACAAGCCTAGGCACCAGAGAGAATGAATGTTTTCTGCTTTTCTATTATATTAATTTTCCATGCTCAAAGTTTGGATATCTTAACCTTAAAGAGCCATTTAAATGTATGGCCCTAGCAACAGTTTCTGCTGTAGTGCTAGTGCTTTTAGGCACAACTAAGTATTGTAATTTTAAAAGACTGACTAGTTTTAGAATATTTGTAAAACAACTTTCTACTACTGAGTTTGAGATTCTTGAATCTTTCCAACTACCCAAGTTTTGCTTAAAATTAATGTTCTGGTAATATTTTTTATTTCTTTTTTATTGATTTTATTAAGCTATACATTTTTCTCTGCTCCCCTCCTTTCCTCTCCCCTCCCATTCAGCCCTCTCCCATGGTCCCCATGCTCCCAATTTACTCAGGTGATCTTGTCTTTTTCTACTTCCCATGTAGATTAGATCCATGTATGTCTCTTATAGGGTTCTCATTGTTGTCTAGGTTCTCTAAGATTGTGATTTGTAGGCTGCTTTTCTTTGCTTTATGTTTAAATACCACTTATGAGTGAGTACATATGATAATTGTCTTTCTGGGTCTGGGTTACCTCAGTCAATATGGTGTTTTCTGGTTCCATCCATGTACTGGTAATATTTAAATGCAGCTTAAAGGGGTTGGAGAGTATCCACAATGTAACCACAGGTGGAACAAAACCTTGAAGCTTAGTGAAGAGAATGGGGGTTAAGTCTCAGGAGCAGGAAGTGGGTGGAAAAGACCCCAGACTGCTGAGTCTCTATTGACTTAACTGTAATCAGCACCATAGGTCCATGTATTCTCTGCCAAAGGCTTCAACCAATCGATTCTCTAGTAAAGCAGATGTGCTGATTATTGTCATCCTGTCTTATGCAGGAATAGGATGAAAATAATAGTTTAAAATAACATTTCTTCAAATGTTGAAAGGATTAGATACCAGTAGGAAATCGCTTGTATAGAACTGAACTTTCGGTATTGGTCAGACAAGAAATGCTAAGGACTTCTGTAGGTACTAAAGGGAACTAGCATAGAAGGGAAAGAAGGGAAAAAGAAAGAAGGAAAGAAAGAAAGAAAGAAAGAAAGAAAGAAAGAAAGAAAGAAAGAAAGAAAGAAAGAAAGAAAGAGGGAGGGAGGGAGGGAGGGAGAGAGAGAGAGAGAGAGAGAGAGAGAGAACATTTCAAAGGGAAAATGGCAACTTCAGTCAAAGAGCAAGCTGAGGAATTTGAAGAGAAGCACTGTCATCAAAATGGATCACTTAGAATAAAAGTCTAGTTGACAGGGAAAAAAAGACATGCTTCTGAAATAAGTAATTCTTAACTACGAATTAAGCCAGTGATTGCAAGTGTCTTAATCCTCTGACATATGAAAATTAGAGAGTGAATTATTAATGAAACTTCACAAATGAAAACCTTGACTCGATTAGTATTATTTGAGAAAATGTATATTCTTAAAGGAACTATTAAAGAGGAAAAAACAAAAAGGAATAGTTAAAGAACAAGGGAACTGACATATTTATAAATCTAGGAATTGAAAAATATTTGATGATCAAGAGTTCCGTGTATCATAAGGAGCCAGTGTAAAGTTCATTAGTATCAAGTATTCTCATGAGCATCATTTACGCAGATCACTTCTAAGAGACGAGAGGCACATAAAAGGGGACGGCTAATCTAGACCAGTGGTTCTCAGTCTTTCTGATGCTGCAACCCTTTAATACAATTCCTCTTGTTGTGGTAATCCCCAACAATAAAATTATTTTTGTTGCTACTTCATAACTGTAATTTTGCTGCTATTATGAATCATAATATAAATATGTTTGTTTTCCCATCATCTTAGGTGACCCCTGTAAAGGGGCCATGACCCACAGATTGAGAATCACTGGTCTAGATAGAAGTGCGTTAGGAAGACTGGAGTTGATGAAGGATGCAGTTGGATTGACTGGAAGTGTTTTAAAAAGCATCCTTTTTCCCCTTAAGTCCTTGTGCTTGTGTGTGAGAACGTACATTTTCATTGGCTTGAGCTATAAACTTAAGATGATTAAAATAGTAACCGTCTCGAGTCTTTAGTTGACTTTATGAGCATAGGTGCTCAAATTTCAACAAAAGTAAACAGTTCTATTGTCTCGACAAATCTGAGTACTGAAATGTCATACCTTTCCAGAATTTTTTTTTTTTAGCAGATAACAGTTCTTTGAAGAACCACAAGGGGGCAGGCCGATGCACAGTTTGGTACCCAAGAAAGGACTATAAATTCTACATATATATTCTTCTTGAATTTATTGCATCCCGACCCCAGTTTCCTCTCCCTCCTATTCTCTCAGTATCTCTCCCCCAACCGTCTCCAGAAGACCTACCACCTCCTCCTACCCTCAGAAAAGATCAAGCCTCCCAGGGAGATCTACCATACATGGCATAACAAAGCTACAGTAAGACCAGGCACACACCATCATATCAAAGTTGAATAAGACAACCCAGTAGGAGGAAAATGATATCACAAGAAGGTAAAAGAGTAAGAGACAGCCCCTGCTCCCACTGTTAGGAAACCCCCGAAAAACACCAAGCTATACAACAATAACATATATGCAGAGGATCTCGGTCAGACAACCCCCCCCCCCAGGGTCCTTGATCTCTGCAAGTCCCCGTGGGTCCCAGTCCCTGAGATTCTGTGAACTGTGTTCTCATGGTGTCCCTATCCTCTCTGGTTCCTTCGCACCACCCCCGCAGGTCTCCCTGAGCTCTGCCTCATATTTGGACTCTGCGACTGCTCCAGTCAGTTGTTGGATGAAGTCTCCATGATCTCTTTGATGATGGCTCTGCTAGGTTCCTGTCCCAGAACACTGCAGGCAAAATAAACTGTAGGTAGCAAGTCTCGAGGTTAGGTTGGTGCCCTAATCCCTTTACTTGAGCCCTTGTCTGGTTACGGAAGTTGGCCGGTTCAGGATCCCATGTACTGCATTATCAGGAGTCTTGGATAGGGTTTCTCTTGTAGACACCATGTAGTTACCATTGCACTCCGTTTCTACCTTGCCCCACATCCCCACCCCTCAATTTCCAGTCTTGGGAACAGGAGGGATCAGGTGAGGGGGAGGGAGAAAATACTGGAATAAACGACTGATAAAAGTCTTGAATATCAAAGAAAATCGAGTGGCACTTCTTGTTAAATATGAAAGCAATCAAAATATGAAAATAAATCATATTAAAAATAGGGAAGCAACCACACCAAAATTCTGGAATATGATACAGTTTACCAGGATGTTGTTTATGATAATACTCTTCCACATAGAACTTGATATTTTCAAAGTGTTTTTATAGGAGTAATTATTACATCGGTCTTACAAGATAGGTGTTACCAGCCTCTTGTTGTATACATTAGACATTTAAACCCAATGTAAAGAAGCTGATAAGTATGAGAAGCAAAATTCAAGTCCAACTCAGTCTAATTCCATTTGGAGACCAACTGCCTCAGAGCATAACTCTTTGGATGCATTTTCAGTAGATCCAGAGGGCATCTCAGTTCTCCTAACGCCCCTAATTCTCCACCAATGGAACCTAAGTAGAGAAAAGATAGCTTTATCATCTCCCCCATTTAGATCTGCTTTAGCCTCCACTAAGAAGCACATCCTTTGAAAGTCATTCAGGCACCTACAACCAAATTAAACAGAAGGAACTCAGGTAGTTGAAAGGCATGGCAATAGGAAATCTTAATGTTTCTCCTTATGGGGTAGGAGCTATGGTCTCGTTCTATGCATCACACTGCCGTAACATCTCGTGACTCTTTAATCTCCAGGTCCTTCTTCTGATGCCAACAATCTTGCCTAAATATTTCAGTGATGCAGAGGCCTCCCTAAATACAGAAGAAGCATTGAGGCAAGGAGGATCACATTTCTCATCCAGCTGAAGAAATAAAGACAGGAAAAGCTTCATTTAAACCACTTCATTGAAAGAAGTCATAGCTACTCTGAGACCATCTAAGCTAAAAAGGCCACTAGGGTATCAGCGATGGAAAATACCATCGCTGGTTATATGACGGGAAAACAACTCTTGTAGCTTTCTCAAGAAGAGCCCTCCAATAAAGAGATATTTTTCTGTAATCCAATCCAGGACCATTTTAAACATTCCACAATAATGTTGCAAATCCCTATGCCATATTTGGTATCTGAGACGACCCTAAGAATCTTGGAACAAGGCATGGTAGATGTTTGAGGAATGCTTTCTTCATTCAAGTAATTAAAAACACAGGAGTTGTTTCACTTAGGATAACACAACCAACGATAGAGAAATTTCTAGAACACACTTCTCAGCTCCCTGCAGATTCTTGAAGCACCCGACTAATTAATTATCAGTGTTGAGCTATCTGTCTGTCATGAGGCAGTTTGTTCACAGGCTGGCTGATCAGTGTAATTTCTTTATTAAAACCCTTTGCTCTTCCTAATCTTTTTCCAAGCAGCAGGAGAAGGTGGTGGGTCAACTTGAGGAGAGCCAAAGGGATGAGAAATATTCAAAGTGAATGTTCTTCCCAATTGCCTGTCTTTGTAGCTGTTTTCCCAAGGATTAATTGTGGTGCTCAATGAAGAATTTTCCATGCAAAAATTTGGGCAGATTTGGTTTCGACAAATTTATAATGGTGTACGCCATTGTAAACAAGGGATTACTCTTGCCAAGGCTCATTGGTTTTACTACTATCCTATTTCCAAAACAAGGTATACAACATGATGTTAAAGGGTAAAATAAATAAATAAATAAAATGATACTATGATAAAGGTACTATATCTATTACCCCAAATAGTTAACCATTTTTTTGTGACAATAACAGCTAAAATCTACTCAGTTAGCAGGAATTATAGTACAATTTCAGTATCTATAACATTTATGTTGTTCAGTAAAACTGATAAACTCTATTAATGAAATCTGTGTGTCTTGATCATAACTGTGGTCACAAAGTAACACTGAGTCTAATTCTCTCAATAAGGATATTTTATTATTCAATTATTCACCCACAGTAGATTATTGGAAATTCTGGACTCAAATGAGAAAGAATATGTTCAAGCATGGGTAAGGCCTTCAGTTCCAAAATACTCTAGTCTCTTATCTCTCAGTGGAATTTCAGATTTAAATGAAGTAATAACTTTGAAAATGATTAACTTGGAGGAACTGAAAAACATGAGGATATTATTTTAGTGGAGGGAGAACAAGATTAAAGCTTTGTTCCTATGTAAATTATTGCTCTGTTACTTCTGATATCTGTAGTTTTGTTCAATGGATTTCATGATGTTAATATCCTTGAAATAAAAATACACCAAGTATCAATTTACTGTTCTTGTATTGGCAAGCATTTTACTGCTACTAATTAAATAATTTTTGATTAGTGTAATGGATAGGATGTTAGTAACATAGATACTACCATGCATTTCTGTGGTCGCAGCTCTTAATTCGATGTTAACAAATGTGCTCAAAAGTCTGAATGAAACCTCTAGATCCTTCTAAACACACAAGTTTCGGGGACCATTAATAAATTACTATAGTAGTCAGCAAAGCTCATATTCTACAAACAGGTTCTTTGAGTTAGTACAAAGGCATTAGAATTTTGTTTTCAGTATATAAAGAGGTATTCACAGGAAAAACTAAGAAGCTTCAAGTACTGTCTAGAAACTGCCCTGCAAGGATCATCCATGTTTTGATAGTATGCAAAAGTACTATTAGAAAATATTAACACAGTACTTGTTATTAAAGATTTGACATATTTTACCCAAAACTACTCTCAACTACATCAATTTAATGTTGGAATAAGAAGTCTTGTAGCATTTGGCCTTATTAATTTACTCAAGTATAATAATGTATTTCTCATATTCTTATTGCTTAATAAAATGTCTCAATGAAGCAAAATGTTCTACCTAAGTATTTCAGGATACATTATGTTAAGATTCTGTTCCTAGTCTATTAGACATGCTATTATTGATGCTGTTTTTCTATTGTAGATTAATTGTGGTGAGTTCCGTAACCCCAATATCTTCTGTACTCGGGAATCTGACCCACTCTGTGGCTCTGATGGTCTCACATACGGAAATAAATGTGCCTTCTGCAAGGCATTGGCGTAAGTGTTGTTCTCACCACACGTGTCTTGTGAGCATAAGCTTCCAAAGATAGATTAATATGTTTTCAGCTATCCTAGAATGTTATATTCATATCTCCAATAGAGACTGAAAAGATACACCTCCAGAAAATGGATTGAAAAGATATGTCTCAAAAGTGAATAAACCAATTATTTCAAAAACACTTTAACTACTTTGTACCTATCATAAAGCATTTGGGAATATCTTTGTAATACATTTTGCACGTAACAGTTTACCTTTAATAAGTCTTATACTTTTCATCGTTTTATTTTATTTAAATATCTATTCATTTTTGTTTTATGTATGTAAGTGCTTTACTTGCACATATGTACATGCCTGATGCCCAGGGAGGCCAGAGAGGGTATCAGACTCCCTGGAACAAGTGCTGCAGTTGCTTGTAAGCTGCCATGTGGGTTCTAGGACTGAAGCCCAGGTCTTCTGCAAGAGCAGCCAATGTTCTCGTAAACACTGAGCCAACTTTTCAGGCCTGTTTTTTCTTATTTTTTTAAATTAGTTTAAAATGTCAATACTGATATCAATATGTAATCAGCACAATAATGTGTAAAGTATCTATCCAATTCAAAACAAATCTTCTCCACAGAAGTTTGAGGTATAGGATGAGATTTGCATGAACGGAAGGACATACACCTGATAAAAACTTGCATGCGCAGTCTGCTATAAAATGCAAAAAGCTTCAAGGTTTGGCTCATTTACTCAAATACTCTGCCGAGACAGAACTATGACTTATGGCTTATTCGCGTATTTCTCCACCCATCTACATTTCACTCCTCAACAATGAGTAATGACTATTGATAGTTCAAGACTAAGAGTTGAGATTAGTCTAAGATTCATTCTTTTCACACTTAGACGAGGGGATTCAATTCACTTCTGCTGAATAGCAGTTAGATACCAACAAAACCCAATAATCAGATAGGTGGTAACATTAAATTGCCCTGGGCACTGTGACAAACTCTGAAGATACTGCAGTAAGAATATATTTGTCATTTTTTTTTCCATAGGAAAAGTTCTGGGAAGATCAACCTAAAGCACCGTGGGAAATGCTGAGCGTGAGCTGGTGTTTTCTGCCAGCTTGCCTATCCTCTCACCTTAATTTTTTTGATTTCTACTTTTACTTTTCTCTGGCCAATCCCATAAATTAAAAAAAAATAAAACAACCTTTTCTCTGTGTGGGTCTTGTGTAGGTCAATATGTCTGTTTACTTTAACTTGTCAATAAAGTAAATTCTGCAGAATTGATTACTTTTTGGTCTGGGATTAATATAACAATTGATACAACAGAGAATACTGAACTTGATTCAATAATTTGAATCAAAATTCTTCTTCTCTCATCAAAATACACTATCCATCACAATAGAGTCCTGTAAAAATATCTCTCCTCTACCACATTTGGAATTTTCATGGTAATAATGGAGCTAATATCAATGCTATTCCACAATATGCTATTTAAATATTAATCAGAAGATATTGATGCTCCTTAATATCAATAAAGATATTTTACATAAAAGCAAAATGTGGATCATCTATGGTGTTTGTTTTTAACTGTCTTTGAAATAATGTATTTAGACTGTGTAATATTGAAATCCACAAAGGATTTGTCCTCCTGAAAACATCACAAGGCATTCTAAATGAGAAGCTTAAAAATGCTCAAGATGAACAGTGAATATTTAACAAATGTTGATTATTCAATAAAGAGTATGTGAAAAATTTCTTAATGAAAAGTGAACTTCATTGTAAAATGGGGAAAATGTATATATCATTAGAAATTCAAAGGTTTACGGAAATTTAGTTATTAACTAAAAGAAATCAGTTCCAACTAGAAGAAAACTAAAGATTACAAGAATCCTTTTGATAAGGCAGTCATATTCCATGTAGCTACTCCATTCTATGAAAACCTACAATCATAATGTACAAGTTCATCTCAATCTGAGAAATCAGCATGGTAGTCTTTGAAACCAGTCATTCGAATACTTTAACGCATGAGAATGTGATATTTGTAAATAATGCCTTCCTAAGGAAAATTGCACTTAACCACATATCAAGATTCATTTCAAAGCAATAATTGTCACTCTGTTAAAAGCCTTTTCCTGGGAAGGTGAACGTCCAAACTGGCTAGGCTCCCACCAAGCCGGAACATGAAGTAGGATCAAAACTTCGTGCCACTG